ACCTTAAATTTCAATGTTTTGTTCCCTGAGCCACTTAGTTATCACTTTGGCCTTACGGTATGGTATTCCATCATTCTGGCAAAGGCATTGTTATTCACCAAACTGTTCTTGGGTGGTTGGAAGAAGTTGCTGTTGCAGGATGTTTTGGTAGCATTCTTTATTGGGTGAATGCCATACCGTTTCCCCATGAATTACGTTTGTTTCAGGATAGGAAATCTGTCCTTCTCTCAGATTTCAAACTCTGGAATTGAAGTGCTTTTTTTCTCTCGTATTCGTTTGTTTTCACGGCAAAGAAGGAAATTGCTAAACTGAAGCAGCAAACTTTGTGTAGACGGTAAATCATTTCACTTCACAATGGTACTTTTGAGGTTTCTTAGTATTATATAAACATCAGATAGCATATAAATAATTAAGAAAACCGTAATTATTTAGAAACACATGCCAGGTTTTTTCTTAAATGCTGAATGAGCCTGGAGTTTGTTTCCAGGCTGTAGTAATTTAGTAATAATTTTTATCTATAAGAAATGTGAAGATATCAAATCGTGGATCCACAACTGCTTCAAACTGAGCTGTGTTCATGCTTTGTTAGAATGTTAAGATGACCTGCTGATACGCCCAGCTAGCTATCGAATAGCTTGAGCTGTGCAGCTTTTGGTTCTGCTATCAAATTACTTGGGTGTATCCATTAGCCTTCATTGTAGTGTGCACGTTTTGTTGCTGTCAGCTTAGTTGCCAAATGTAAGAATTTAGATTGGTGCAAAACCTGGTTTCATGTAAAGAAATTCCAGGCCTCTTGTTATTCCTACATTGCCTCCAACATTTTAAAGTATTTAGTTTCTTTCTTGTTGAGCTGCTCATCTGAAAATTAGCATCACGTTTCCGCTGTCTTTGTGTTATTTGAATAGTCCTTTTCTCAAAATGTGCACACCCGTGAAGCTTTCCAACTTATTGTTATGCGTCTGGACTTCTTTAAGTTGCTTGATGGCGTTAACGCCCACTCACATCCTGGGCCATCTGACCTCAGGAATTCGCATGATAAGGTGGGGC